AATGGGAGTACAACCACAATCTCCCAAAATAGAAAACCCCTAATTATTAAGCCAAAAAAAAAAAAAATCATATATGATTACTATTATCAGACTGTCATTAAAGTTCATAGTTCAGACATTTAGTCCAGGTAACTTAAACTATAAATCAGTATTTAACAATATGTTAAAAAGGATTCACTATTCGACGAATTATGTTTACGGCGGTGCGATGGTTTGATGAAGTGAGCCCTTGGAGATTTAGAAGTCGTTTTATAGGGATTTTCAGGCTTCGTTTGATTTTTCCTTTTGAGTATACATTTTTTTTAGTAGAATGGCGTTTCTTCTTTACTTTGAACATGTTAAAATATAGCGCCAATAATATATTTCAAAATAAAGTAGTTTATATGTTTTATTATGATAAACGATCGAAAATTGTTTGTAGAATTTTTTTGACTAAAAATATATTTATAATAATTACTATAATTTCATTCGTACACCGATAAATATATATAATTCGTCAAGTTTTTGTTACAAATTATTTATCAACAGTAAACTTAAATAAAATTCCAGTTTTCAACAAACTTGTTAATAGTTTGAAATTAAGTACCATGACACTTAAAAACTCAAGGGAATAAATGAAAGGAAATAAATTTAATAGAAGGTTTCCTATGGCCTACAGTCCTAACCCCTTTTAAATTACTAAGTTATCGTCTATTGAATGTTTATATAAATGATTCTGTCACGTTGTATTGAACATTTTAACCTACATGTAATGTTGTGTAAACTTCTTATTTCGATTTTTTAAATAAAATAATTAATAAAACATTAGATATTATTCGAATCACATTTATTAAATTAATTATTTTATATTGTTGAAACCCTAGAAGAAAAATCTGATTTTTTAATTTTATTCTATTATAATGTATTTAAATGTGTTTAATAAATTTCCTATACCAAGAAATTTACCGGTATTTTAATATATAAACATATGTTTAACTTTCTAAAAATGAAGTTTGAAAAACTAGTATTCATAGACTTTGTGTTATCTTGGACTAAAATTTTTTTAAACACTAAAGTAATGTTTATTCTTTTCTAAAGTTTTGACCTTGAATTAATAAAGATTTTGACTTTGAAGTTTAATAAAGAAAGAATTAGAAAAAAAAAATATATATATACACATATTGTAAACTGTATTTTATAATAATAAAATCAAAACACCTGTTACAATTAAGCCTCTGCATAAGCACTAAGTAACTTAATCTACAGGTGTACTTAAAAGTTAAACGTGTGATCACTTATAGAAATAGAAAATAAGTTAACAACTTCTACAAACCAATCTTAAGATTGAATAAAAGAAAAAGAATACTTGAAATATTTCAAAGAGATGAAATATTTATTTTACTTAAATTTAATTTCAAATATTTTTGTATAAAATTATGTCTTAAGTTTTAAGCTGATTATTAATACTCGATTTTGTTTAGTAATGAAATTATTTCTAAAATTAGTATTAATAATTTGTATATGTTAAGTTAAGCTTGTTTTTAAAATTTTAACGTTATTAATATACATTCAATTTATTCTAAAAAGACCCCAGCACAGGGGAGACGCGGCACAGTGGTGACGTGGCATAGTTGGATCAAGTATAATGATATCTGACAGTGATTAAAATCACTATCAAAAAAAAACGCTTCGATGCAAATCTTTAGATAGTGTTTAATTTTAGAAAATTGGTGGATTATTCCAAAAGCTACATGATCTGCTAGTTCCTTATTAATATCCTGATTAAATCAAATGAAAAAGGGATTATTNGAAAAAGTTACGGCAGTTTTTAGTAAAAAAAATTGAAAAAATTTCGAAAATTAGCGATTTTTAAATTTGTAATTTTTTTGGAAGTTTCCCCCATTTACGAGGAACGACGTAAATTTTTTCAATTTTTGAGGGTAATGTCTTCGACTAAATACGATTTGTGATCTTTTGACGTATCGTTGAAAGAAATCCGTTCGGTGAGAGCTGAGAAAGAGTGGTAACAGACACAAAAAAAAAAAAACACATAGTAAAATAATACCTTCTCAGCTTCACATCGAAGCTAAAATTTATTAATAAATTTTTATTTTAGATATATATTCCAAATGTATACTTTTAGTTATACAAGAGCTAATTCCGTCATAAAATTAGAATGAAACTTCAAAGTTATTATATTTAAAAGTTATAAGACGTTAGAGTTTATCTGGAGACACCCACTAGAATTTTTTAACAGCTCCTTAAATTGTAAAGAGTTATCCTCGAAAGTGTGTAACACATAACAAAAATATACACGAAAAAAATGTGTTTTTATTTTAATTTTGATTAAAATTATTATACGTTTTTCTTTATAAAATAAAAATACTTTAAGGGTAACTAAAGATGAATAAAGTTAATTGAAGATTTTATTTGTATACAATCTAAACAATTTTATCTATAATTAAAATAAATTAGTATTCATGTATGTGTACGTTTTTCCACCTATTTTATATTAGTTGAAAACAATTATTACCTTAGTATTTACAAAATTTATTAATCGTGTCCACTAATGATTTCTTAAAAAAAAAAAAATGAAAGAAAATATAATATAATATTTTTCATGTAAAATGCAGCTTTGAGTATATTGTATATAATATGTATAATATAGTTTAATGTTATTATTGTTAAATTCATAGACTTTTAGAATTTGACAAATACATATTGTTTCACACAAAAAAACATAGCCACAACACATAAAAAAGAAAAATCGTACACTCACTAGCGTTTGCATGTTATATAATAGGTGGATGGTATTCGTCAACGTCAGGGTAACAATCGCGATGCAATCCTTCATCAGGGTTATGTGTCTTGCTGCAACCCTTCGTCGCGTGATCTACAGCTTACATGCTGCTTGTATCGGATTTTAACACAAACAAGTATTTTACTGATTTATTGCATAGCTGTATCACACCCTTTACACGTATACATATAGCAATACTGTCATAAATTTATTGTTGGGCTAAGAAGTGTAAAAATATACGTGGGAACGGAAAACGTAGGAATCTATTGCGAAGGCGGGGGTAAATTTATATTAGAAATCGGAAAGTAAATTGAAAACTTGTGTGCAAGTGTGGAAAGAGAAAATTTATCGGCCGAAAATAAAAGCGTTTGTTTTTGTCATCGTAATCACGTGTGGTGAAGGAAAAAGTAGACGACAAGAGTGTAGGCAAACCCATAAATTTTGATACCTGCCAATTATTTACAATGCTGCAGAGTCGCTTTGTGTTAAACTAATACAATACAAATTGATTGTACAAATTACGCGTTATGTGCGACTGTTGTTAATAAATATTTCAATTTTTGTCGATTTGATGAAAGACCATAATTCACAAAAAAATTAAAATTAGATAATTAATAACTAAATAATATAGTATAGCATCTTTAAATTATTTTATTGACATAATCATTGGCGATTTATTATATTAAGCAATGAACAAAAAAATTATTGGGATTAAATGGAAATGCGTATTACCCCGTAATTTTTTTCTAAATACTTTTGCATTTTGACTTGTGACTTTAAAGGAATCTCTTTCAAAACACTTGCTTTCTTCTCAAATGTCTAGGGGTTACTATAGTTTTTTGCAATTTTTTTTAATTACTTCGTTGGTTACTTGATTATGTACTTTGTCGTTTACAATATCACATTTCATATTTTTACTAAAAAGCATATTAAAAATCCTCTAAAAGCACAATATACTGTTATATTTTTTTAACAATTTAATGTTGTAATAAAGTACGACACTTAGAAATATTTAATATTTTTTGAGTTTAAAACATTTAAAAAAATTGACGATAAATTATTTGATAGTAACTATAACCTAATTGATTGACGATAAAATTAATGAGATATTATATTTATATATAATTATTGTAAAATAAATATATTTCAATCTATTTATTTTAAAATAAAAAATTTTATAGAATATTTAATAATACATTTTGCCTAATTTTCATTAATTCTATGATATTTAAAGTTTTTAAAATTAAAAAAAATATTTTTTATTTTATTTTCAACTTTCTTTTAATGATTAATGACCCAAATAGAAATAAACAAGTATTGTAAATTGAGGCATGATGCACTCAATACCTTCATATTAAAAAGAAGGGTCACTTAGCTGTAAATTTGCTTAATCATTCTTAAATAACAGCGAAAAATCCTATTGTAGCTATAAATAGTTTATATAAAATTATACACTGTTATTTATGAACTATTTATTAATAGTTTATTTAGCAAATTCGATGCAACATTTATTTTCCTAGATATTATTGACCAAATATCACTGAGCATTAAGTAATTGTAGTTATATACGATTTATAACAAAAAAAATTTGATCATTTTTAATATTTCATTTTAGATAGGATAAGAGACTTAATATTTATTTTTAAACCCTCCTCCATGGATGATCATCATGATTGTATAAAATATACCGATATATTGTATATAAGTCGTATATTAAAAAGCGGTTCATAAAGTGAGAAGAGTTATAAAATACTGTACTTAAAATTCTTTGGCTTATTAATTTGAATCCCATCCATTTATGTTTAAAAGTTGAAAAAATAATTGTTTGTTTTCTGAGATCAGAAGACTTAGTTGATCAGATAACTCATCTGAAAAAATATTATTTCTAAATTAAAGAAAGTTTTATTACTTGAACGTTTTTCGTGGATTTCCCAGGAGACAAAAAAAAAAATGTTGACATGAGACGGTCGTTTTGGTGAATCTATTTGTCGTTTATAAACAAGTGTCTGATAAGTATGAGTGGCAAAAACTAAAAAATAAGTGTATGTATGAGTAGACAGTAGAATGAATATTTAATGATCAAATAAATGATGTAGGTAAAGAAGCTGGGAAAATCGTTTAAGGTACAATTGAAATGTATTTCATATTGTTGGTCGCTACAGCGACGATTATAACGACATCTACGCTACCAACGTTGGTAGTGTTTATATATGTACCACCACGTGCACTCAGTTTAAAATTCGCCGTCATGCAGTGCCGTTGTTATGTTACTTTTAGCAATTTCGGTTCAATTTATACGATCAAATATGTGCTCACCAAATTGGTCTTTAAAGATCAGGTCAATAATTAAAACATTATATAATACTTGAACAATACTGAACTTAGGTAATACGCTAAACTTACACTCGGTTAAACATAAATTGATACATGTTAAAAAAAAAGGTAATTACATTAAATATATATTATTATTGTTAATAGGTTAATAAAAGTAGCTATTTAAAAAAAATCTTAAAAGCAAAAGTAAAAACAAAAATAAAAAATTGCAATATTTTTTATAATACTATTTGCAATTATTTGAACTACAATTTCCAAATTTAATAGAAGATTTTTAAATTTATGTTACAGGAATAAAATCCATTAATGTAATATGATATTCATTATTTATTTGATTCTACTATATTTTTCAAGTATAACCTGTCACCTAAATGTATTCATTAGCCAAAAAGAAGTGAAAAAAATTATGGGTAAGTTAATAACTCTTTAGTTCTTCTAAACAGTAAAACATTGTATAAGTATTTTACGAATTTTTAAAAAATTTATCTTTTAACAAAACTGAAATTAATTATTATATTTCAATGAAAAATACATTCGATAACACTAATTTCGGCGTTGTTAAGACTTCAGTGTTCATAATTTGAATAAATTAAGTTCTTTGATTAAAGATAAATGATCTTTAACTAAGTTCATTGTAATTATTCATTTGCAAACCAAAAGAATTCTATTAGTAATTAACATATTTTTTGTAGTACTTTTTTATCAGTCTTTGAACTTTTTCTTTCTTTTATCTTACCTCACCAACATATTTATTATTAGTTAACTAAAATGTTTAGAAAGTAATTTTAATTTTCAATTTTATAGAATCAAACTCACAAAATAACTTGTCAATTATTACATTTTAAATTGATTTGGTTTTATTATTTACTTTTAATCAACATAGAATAAACTGAAAAATATGATTCATAAAACTTATTTCAATTTATTTTTGACAGTCAAAGATATACGAAGTGCCATATAAATAGGGGTTTAAGGAGATAAACCCCCTATTAACTATGCTATATTGATAAAATAATGCTTGTTGTCATTTTTTATTTGCCCATAATTCATTTAAATTGAGAAAAAATTATCTATAGTAGCTTATAAATTGTAAAATTTTATTTGTACTCTCCAATGAATTTATAAATATGCCTTCGAATTTAAGTAGTCAGAATAAAGTATTGTAGACGCTATAATGTTGTATTACATAATAATATCTGATATCGAAAAAATTTTATTACAATATTTATATAAACTTATCTTATATTTCTAATTGTTCATTGTAAACTTTGCATTGTTTTAAACTAGTCAGTATAATTGAAGATTCATTTATATCATACGTACGCATTTAGTTGTATTTATACATATTTATTCATATTAAAGTTCTATAGGTAGAAATAAATTAAGTTTTTGTGTTGTCAAATGTTGGTACTTGTAATAATATAATGTATAGGGATTGTAAAGGGTCAAGTTCTTTTTTACTCATATTATTTGAAAAAATTTGTAATTTTTCATTTCAAAAATTTATTTAATTTTAATATTAAATGCGCACTTTGTGTGTTTCAACGAGTTAAATTCATTAGTTTTTTCTTATAAAGGTTTTCTTATAGATATAGCTGTACTTCAAAAATAAGCAATAGTTTACTATACGCTGTAAAAATTAATTTCACTTTTCTTCGAAATTATCATTAAATTTTAAATATGACATTTGCCAACAAAAATTAATGCTCTTGAGTATAAACATCAAAGTAGAGTATATGATTTTTAAGTACTTGTTTTTAAAAAGGCTAAAGGATTTTTTTATTAAGTTTTAAAATGGTTTCAATTTAAACTAAAGTATTTATTTTTTATTGTATTTTACAATGCCATGAAATACACTGAATAAACGCTTGAATAATTAAATAATATTTTAGTTCTTTTCATAATAATTTTATTTGAAATCCATTTTACTATAGATCAAACAAAACATTTTTTTTTATAATAAATCGAACACAAAATAAAACTGAACATTTGATTTATGTTAAAGAAGAATTGTATAATGTAGATTTCTATTTCATATTATTGAGGACTTTATATACACCTGTTTTACCTAACCGTAAATATTTCAACTTGCCTATTAATAATTTATTAAAATTCTAGTATATTAATTAAGATATTTCAAATTTTATTTATGTAAATTCTAAAATATTTCAACGTTATAATCTTTTATGAGAGTTTGTTAAAATTATTTTTTATACATATTTATTTATTTATTTAGCAATAGTCAGTCAATTAAATAAGATAGACTGAAAAAAGTAAATGTTTGAGTTATAATTTAATGGGTATATTAATATTTGTTGTTATTTTAAATGTTCTATTAATTATTATTATTTTTGAAGTTTTAACTAAATCATGTTTTAAATTAAATTAAAAACATACATTTTATGTATTATATAATATTTTAATTTATAGTATAATAAATCACCCCATGATTGATGATGGCGGACTAAAGTGTTCAGTCTATTATATTGAACTCTATATTCTTTTTTTGCTTATCAAATGTATAATTTAAAAGAAAAGTTTTTTTTTTTTTTAGGAAGTATCCAAATATATATATATATATATATATTTGTACGAAAAAAATTATATTAATATAAAGAAATATATTTACTTATTATTTCACAATTTGAAAAATAAATAAATTATTTTCCTTCAAGTGACAAAAAATATTTCTGATTAAAAATGATGTATTTTTAATAACAAAATTTAAATGCATCCATTAACTATGTCTCACGCAATATTATCAAAAGTATAAGTTAAAAAATAACTTTTTCTTTTCATAAGTTCTTTATATCCTACGTACTAAAATCAAACCACAAAAATATAGTCTTATTCCTTGCCCTTAAAATTGTATCATCTTTGTTGTTTAAACGGAAACACCCATGTCTAACTTGCTTGCAAATAAGATAATTATTAATAATATTTTAATATGATATATAATATGGTAATATAATATGGTCGATAACAATTATTAAATCAGTATTTTTGATCTTATTAACACTAATAAAAATACTAAAGCGTGGTTTTGTTTACTTTGATCTTTAGGCATTTATGAACCATACTTCTCATTTCGCCTTGGTATAGAAATGATCCATTTCAAATAAAAAAGTCCAGTAATTTTCATATTTTTAAGAAAGTTAAATATGCATATTTTCACTTAAAAAACTAAAGATGATACAATTTTATGGGAGAATGAGGGGGAATATTTTTTATATAAATTTAAGTGTGTAGGATATACTGGTTATATCTAAAAAGAAAAAAATTATACTTTAGATTAAGAGGCCCAAGGATAAGGCGCAGGGGTAATGTACTACAGCACAGTTGCATAGTGAGCTTGTCCAAATCTGATGACATAGACTAACCCAAGATCTTACATTATATGGTGCAAAAGGAACCAAAGTCGTAACTAGAATAAATTTAATTGGCTAAAGTTATATAAAAACTAAAAAACCTATTGTTCTATATAATATGTTCAATGACACAACTAACTCGGTGAATTAATTTACTCTACAATACCCTAAATCGTCACGATTGCCAATATTTTAATTAACCTCCTTAATTGTTATTCACTAAGAAGTAACTACTCTGTAGAGTTAATAAAACAAATTAACATAACATATACATGATTGGGTTGTAAAATGTATATCAAGTTATATATTATAATACAGTACATAGCTAATGTAAAAAATCTGTAAAAGTTAGTAAGAACTTTATCTTAATAGATAAATTTTACAAACTTAATAATTATTTTCTACACAATTTGTATTTATATTTTTTAATAAGTTTAGTAAAAATTATAAGTATAATGAATTGATATTTAAAAATATATTTTATTCATATTTTTGTCAATTTAAATTGAAAGGAATTTTGTGAATTTTTTCTTTGTGTAAAATCAAAATACACACAAGTATATATACTGAAAAAAAAATTATAGGCTCCTGGCACTTTTTCGAGAGAAACGTAAACTAGCACAGTTGAGAAAATACACAAAATACTTCAACATGGGATAAAGTGAACAAGTGCTTATGGAGTTGAGAGTAACAAAAGAATAACAGCGTATTAAATGTTAAAAAGCCTTTAGCCCCGAAGGAATTAATTTTTGTATGCCACCGCTTCCGCCTTTTCAATGTAGACTAGCTAACATTAAATATTAACCCTTCGAAAGAACCTCCATCTTCACCTTAGCTTCTCTTTATTTTTGTGGCATTTTAACATTCTAGAACAATGCGAATAAAACATTTATTATTTTGCCGTGTTTTATTTACCATTGTTGTTTTTATTCATTTAATGTATTAATTTAGCTGTAATTAAACGAGGAAAACGTGCAGAATTAAAATTATCATGAATTATCATGAATTATCACAATTGCTTTCACTGCCCACCACTAGTCGAATTTATCAAACTGGGCCGATTATAATAGTAACTCAATAAAGAAAACGGGAAACTACAAAGAATTTTAGAGGGAACTGTTCTACTATATTAAACTGAGTAAGCAAGATGAGTTTTTAATATTGAACACTTTGCAAGTCTTTATATCCTTCATAATATATGAGAGGTATAGAAAAGGTTATGGGCTGGTACACATTTTTGTTGCCCCCGACCTGAATCCGTGATCACGTTTATAATGGGTAGTAAAATATTAAACTAATAAATTCTTAATATATATGTTATCGCTTACTTGTTTGTTTAACTCATTAATAATCCATACCTAATTCAATCTAAGAGTTCTGGTATTTATAATTTTTGAATAATTGAGGTTTTATAGAATTTTAAAATTGAAAAAAATATTGCTGTTTTTTCAGTTGTTCCGCCAAGTTTTGACATTATTAATCATTTTTAATCCAGCGAACATTTTGCCTTACTTTTACTTTCGATGCGAAGCTGAAAAGGTATTAATTTTACTATGATGTGTTTTTTTTTTATTTTTTTTTTGTGTCTGTGAACGCTCAATCTCAGCTCTCGCTGGACCGATTTTGATGAACAATACGTCAAAAGATCCCAAATCGTATCTAGTCAAAGACATCACCCTCAAAAATTGAAAAAATTCCCTCGTTCCCCGTAAATTGGGGAAATCCCCCAAAAAATTACAAATTTAAAAATCGCTATTTTTCGACATTTTTTTACTTAAAATTGCCATAACTTTTTTAAAAATAACCGAATGGTTATATATATATTTTTTTTATAGATACCTTAGGTATTTAACTATCATTTTATATATTTTTGTGAACTTTGATCCTTTACCAGCCCACAGAAAGGGTTTCAAAATGGTAACTTTTTTATANCCTTTAACAGCCCAAAGGATGGGGTTTCAAAATGGTAACTTTTTTACAAAAAATTAACTTTTTCAACTTAACTTTTGAAAATGTTCCGGAAAGACTGACAATTTTATATATACCTTAAATTAAAGCTAATGTAATATACTTTAATTTGAAAAAAAAAAATTTTACCTCTGGACTTGTCTTCATGGTGAAAATGACTACCGTATGCAAAAATATGCTATTCTTGTGAAAAAATTATTGATATTATATTTTACATTTTTTAACATCATGTTGCTATAACTTTTTTTTAAAATATGCATGAATCAATTCTATTCTTTAATGATAAATACTTTATATATACTTCTTTCATTCGACATACTTTTTTTTTAAATCGAACCATTTCCTTTATACAGGGTGGGTTTGAACCTTTAAAAATGCATATAGAAAATAGAACTTTTCAACTTAACTTTTGAAATTCTTCGTGGTGAAAACGGACATCAAAGTTAAAGAAAAACGTACGATTTCCGTGAAAAAATTCTCGATTTTATATTTTATATTATTAAATTTATATTGCTATAACTTTTGGAAAAATGTATAGATCAATATTATTATTTTTTTATAATACATTTTTCTATACCCCTTTCATCTGACACGCTTTTAGTGTAAATCGGATCATACCCCTTTATACAAGAGGGATCAAAACTTTAAACATGCGTATTGAAACTAGGATATTTTCAATCTAGTTGAAGATATCACCCTCAAAAATTAAAAAAAAATTCTAATTTATTAATTAAACAGTTAGTTATTCCATATTCTCAATATTGACAATTAAAATCATTCATTTTTAATGTTTTCAAAGTATTTATTGATGAATTAAGTTTGATATCATATCCATACCTATATATACTCATTAATAAGTAATTATTCTAAAGTTGTCATCGAAACATCATATTTTAATAAGAAAATAAAATGTTAAAAAATAGCTAATTTGAATATTTGAAAAAAAAAATTATTTTAATGTTTTTCTTATTAAATGCAAGTTATATATTACATACATTATATGCTTTTAATATAGTTAAATCTTTAAAAATTATTTTCCAAAAAAAGTAGCGCAAAATATTTGATGGGTCAAGTTATTAAAGATGACAAATTATGGCGAGACACTCTTTGTAATCGAATAGCGATTATAGAATTCTTTACAATACGAAGGAATAAAAAATAAAACTACCATAATATCCTATGTGTGTAAGAACTATAAATTGTGATATGTTCAGCCAAAAATAAAGATCGTTAGACCATCCAAATGAAATATCGACATGGCATTGTTGCAATAGTCACTGGAGGGGTTATTCGTTTTATTAATATTGTTTAACTGCTAGTACTTCTATAATTTACGTTTTTATAGAAATAATCTATGTACTAATACCACGAAAAACAACAAATAAAGAAATATTTGTGAAAAACGTATAATTAAACTTGTGAATATCTATATATTAGATGTATAAATCATTAAATTACTTACCTTGCATTAACACTTTCTTAACTAAACATCTTTTAATGGTTGTTAAACTATTTATCATATTATATAAATATTAAAACAATCTGTAGGAGAATAAATACTATAAAATAATCGCACTATAACGTTCTCATTCTTAGAAATAATTACAATATAAAATCAAGAAAACTAGATATACGTAATTCTACTATGATTAAATTTAATTACTTCTCTTGTAGTCAATTTGATTAATTTATTTAATGAATTTATATCCTGATTTTATTATATGATTTGAACAGTAAAATATGTTAACAAGCATAATGATAAAAAATTACAAACATTTTATAGCTTTATGATGTCTTGTCTATTTTTTATTAATTTGCTGGGGAAAATTTCTAGACATAATTTTCCTCTAACTTTGTTCTGGTGCATCATCTGAGCGGGTTGATCAAATTTATAGTCAAAAAATACTTCTAAAGTAAAATATCATTTTAAGCATAAATCATTTAAAAATTCGATTTTATCATTATAATAATGAGTTTTAAATACTTTTATTACTGCTCTACTTGTAGTGTGATTGTTATTTTAAACCTGTATCGGTTATATTAAAATTTGGGAAAATAATAGGGACTAAAGTAAAACAGTTGGTGGTGCAATTAAAAACAGTGGTCCACAGAAGCCATTAAAAACACGACAAATTCATCATTGCTGCAAAAAAATCGACCCCTTGCTGTTTCAGTCGTATCTGGGAAATATAATTAATTTGGTAAACCACAGTAATTGCAAAAGACCTTTATTTTGTGCTATATACAATAACTTCTAAAGCTTTTGTATTAATAATATAAATTCTAAAATCACAAAAATATAACGTTTTATAATTTTGTGTATTCGGAATAAACTCCTCTTTGTTCAGTTTTTCCATTTGTAACTATTTAGATTCTTTGTATACGTGGAATTTTATCAAATAGAATTTTTTTGTTTATTTTAATTCAGCTACAACTAATAGTCTTTAAATGATTTTGACTTCAAAGAAAGAAAAACATTTATAAAAAAAAAAAGTATTTATTTATAATATAATATTGTAAAAGAGTTATAATAACCTACATTACCTTTCATTAATAATGAATAAAACCTTTTCAATAATACAATTGTGGAAAATTACAATTCAAACTGAATTCATTCTATATTTTGATGAAAAAATATTGACAAGTAATTTATATATAATAACATATCGTTAGTAAAAATTGAGTAGATTCTATGATTAATGTAGCCAGAAAATATTTCCGGGAAAGCAGTCTGATGATATTTTTTTACAAATAGAGGTTTATTGGAATCATTTTAAGTTTAGCATACTTATTTTGAGTTGTAAATTAATAAAATATTTATAACACTTTAAAATTAGTTAAATATTATAATTTAAGACAATTTTCATAAGCTATTATCATAACAATCTTTTTGAAGTTACTTAAAGTTTTGAAAGGAACTATGTCCTTTTATCTACCCTCTTACTATACCATTGTTTATTGGGAACACTGTAGTCTTTTACAAACTTAATTAAAAATTATTTTAAAATCATGTGTACTATTACAATTATTTTTTTATACATAAATAAGTGACAAAGATTAATGATACCAGCCATGTCGATTTAGATTCCGAGGGGAATCCCTAAAAGCCACCTGAGTTCTAGAATCATTAATTTAAATTAAATAAGAGCAGTTAAGACTTAATTATATTAAATCAGCGATCAGAAATTTAATTTAAATAGAAAATCACTATGATAAATGATTAGTTACATACAATTATGTATCTTATCTTCATTGCTTTAAATAGTTCACATTATACTTTATTTTACTTGAGTTCATATTATATTTCTTACTTATAGGCACAACTCAGTAGGTGTTAAAAGGGCTTTAGCACTCTCTAATTCAAAATTATTTCCGGCAAAAAATGAAAACACATTTCTTAGCTCAGTCATACAAATATTGATTTAATTTATATTTTATATCATTGTTAAAAAATAGTAAATTTTAGAATAATATAAAAAAAGTTGTATTTTGCCGGATAATCACAGACATCTATGTGTTAAAAATTTAATATAAATTAATATTTTTAATATAATAGAAAATTTGGTTTAGTTACGCTTGTATAAAAAACAGTGTTTAAGTTTTTGTAAATAACTTGAAACCTTTTTCTATAACTAGAAATAATTTCAATTATCAGTTATGTTCCATAAATTTTTATTTGTGTATCTACATTTATGTATAATATATAAATATAAAAAATAAACTATTATTTTTATTTTATAATTAATAATTAACAAAAAAAATTGTGATAATTGTTTTATAATTTTGCTGATACGATTTCTCTGATAATAATTGACATTTCAAAATCAATACGAAAACTGTAATCCTTTTTTGAAATATGTTAGTTATTTAATTTATTTTATAAAACGATGACAGAAAAAAACTTTCTTAACAAGAAATATTTAGTACATTGCTTATAATTTTTAATTAAATTGTATACATTTATCGAGTAAGTCATGATGAGTGCACACATCACACTGTGAGTACTCTAGTGTAGTAACTCAAAATTGACAAATTTTGATATACTTATTATACATGTTAATTAATATGTTTTCTTATGATAAAAATAACGCTCCTTATAAATCAATAGCACATTATGCCGTATCTATAAAATTGAATCCATAATACTAAATAATACCATTTATCAAAAACAAAAAATTAGAAATTCGTTCCATGATTAGTATGTTACATTTTGATTTATTATACAGAGTACTTACAGTGCGATATATTAGGCGAACAATGAACCTTGGATATTAAGTAACATATTTAGACTTCAGATTTCTTTCGAGATAGAACATCATTGTTCGAACCTACTCACATTATATGTTTAATTTTAAAGTACCATAGTGCGATATTATGTTTTCAATATTTTATGATTAGTATAATATTTTTCGGGTTTATAATTGAATTTCTATATAATATATTTTTTTACTTCCAGGTTTATCAGCAGAGTTATATTATGTACGTGATGGGGTAGTTAATACTTATGCTATGAATTTTGAAGTGCCTGTATCAGCTAGTATTAATGAACTCGAGTTTTGTTGGCAATCACTTACTCGACACTCAGTGAGTTATTTTAAAAATGTTTCTTTATTTTGATTTCTAGCATTCATTATACAGCTTTGTACTCAATTTTTTCGACGCATTACTAATATTATACTTGCATTATTTAAATTTAATTATTTTAAAGTATGTATAAAAGGTTAAGTTTGAATAAGTCTTCAAATTTTATCAGTAGGTGTTATTTCATGTAGGTGACTACACAAGTAATTGGGCGTGACGTTAAACTAAATCTTGAGAAACAAGAGAGGGTAGGATAATCGGTATTATTTTGACATGAAAATCACGTAGCGCGTTCAACAAGCAAAACCCAAAAACTTTTCTCTTGAAGGGAAGACCCGTTCATTCGATCCTTTCACTTTACCGTTTAAACGCAAACTGTCATATGACTACTGGAAGTTTGTAAATTTGCATTGAAGCGTACCTAAGTGACGACAACACTTTATTTTCGTCCATGACATTACATTATTACTGTTTTAACGTTTGCTGCTCTAATTTTTATGAATATTTTTTTTATTTGACAGTTAAATAGCTTCATTTGTAATTTAATGCAACATCTGATTAGATATTTTTTTTAAAAAACATTATTTAAATAATTATAATAATAATATTAGTGTAAACATAAAAATGAAAAAAATTGCATACTGGGGTTATAGTATAGTTAAGATAAGTATTGATAATATCTGACATTGATTAAAATTACTATCATAAAAAATACTTCGATGCAAATCAGTATATAGTGTTTAATTTTAAGAAATTGGTGGATATTCCAAAAGTAATATGATCTCCAATTTCCTTATTTATACCCTGTTTACAAGTTGTATAATTTATTAGTATAACATATGAATAAGTATTTATTATAGCAATCAAATATAGTATGAAATTTAATAATTTAGTTTTGTAATTTTTATGGACAAATTAGTAAAATAAAGTAATTGTATGTTTCGTTACTTTTATGGAAAACGTCATCTAGAATATAATAGATATCTTGTGTTTAATTTTTGGAAAGAATTGTTGGATTATACCAACAACAACATCAACTCCTATTTCCTTAATTATATCCTTTTTACTAGTTTTATGATTTATTAATTCATTCCTTAAAACTGTTAAAATTTTAAGTAAAAAAAAAAAACAATGACAAGTTTTATCATCATTGTATCGAATTAACATATCATGTTAAGTTAACTTTATTTTACTTCAATTAATAACGCTTTCATCGGTGCATAATTTTTTTTTTTTCATAAAAGATGATGACTGTGTAACTAAACGAGGTTTTAGAAAACAAGTATTTAGTTTCTGACCAGTCATCCTGAATAAAGAAGACGCCCTTAGAAAAATATTCTATGACTAAATCTAGGGTCCTAGTCATTGCCGGTTGAATAAAAGATTTATTACACACACCAGCAAAACACTCTTGTCCGCACTAGTTCAGATGTTGAACGACAATGGGGGAGATGTGGACAAGAGTAGTTTCGTATTATCGAACACAGGGTTTTCTGGCGCCTACAGACACCCCTCGTGCTCTATGTGACGCCACAATCGCCATTGATTTTATATATATACTTGGAAGGGAAAGCATTTCCACATTATCATACTTTTAAAATTATGCTATTGCGAAAATGAAGAGATGGATGGTTTACAAAAAAGAACTATCTATATAAATTTAATAAAGTAAAATATAATATCCCTCGTAACAATACTGATTCATAGTTCGTCGTTAAAAAATAGTAATAAATAATAACTTCGTTAATAACTCGTTAATACTAATAATTTACATTGTTTTTGTCAATGAAAATATTGAATTCTCATTGCAGTCAATTATTGAATATAAAGAAATATTTATATTTGTTGTAATATTTGGATGAAATACTAATGTTCAATATAGTCTGTAAAAAATGCAAACAGTGATCTTTATATTAGAATTTATTTTTAATGAGTGATTTGTGAGAAAAAAATTTATTTTTGAGTAATATATATATAAGAGTAAGTAATATATATATATATATATATAATATACTCATATAAGAGTGCATTAAGTTTATTTCATACAAAACTCTTTTCAATCATTACTTATGAGTAGTGAAATACGACTTAATGTATGTCACTAACACTAAGTTGATGATTTTGTAAGAAATTAAAAAATATCAATTTTATGATATTTTTTACATAAAAAACAACAGACATGAGTATAACAATGAAAAAAATGCATGAAGGCAAAAAAATGAAATATCCCCAGTTTACTTTTATACATTGTTTTTAGTATAATTTTTTACGAGTTTGAAAAAAAATATTAACAGCATTTTGAATTTTTTTACATTTAAAACAATAGAGTTAGAAAATTTGTCATATGACATTTAGTTTCTTAGTTATTCAAATAATCCTAAAGAAAAAGTCACAAATATTGCATAAAACATATTGCAAATTATGATTGGTTACTTTATTTAAAAGTAAAACACCGACTGAAACTTGAAATGCTTATCAGTCATTAGACAAAAGCAAATATTAAATATAGTCACAATATCAAATATATATTTCATCTGTAACTATTTTTAGCAGTCGGTATCGCCTTACGCAATTCGATGGCCAATAAAAAATAGACAATGCCTGCGTTAGGTTAGGTAAATCATAATTAAACCACTTGTGCCAGAGGGCATGGGTTGAAGTTTAGTAGATTTCTCCAATAAAAATGATTTCATAGTGAAGATCAGTTTTTAGTATTTTGTAGAGGTAGTCAACATTTTCTTTTGTATATCATCCTCGGAGACAAAATCTCAACTACGTAACTGTTATGTATGGGGCCTCTTGAAACACAGGGCCTGGAGCAACGGGCTCGGACGCCCCGAACTTGTGCCCGAACTAAAAATAGCAAATGCAGATAACACACTTACCTTGTGGGACTAGTGGGGTCATCAGGAGTAAGTGCCTTAAGGCGCCACACATTTCAAGACCACCAAAAAATATGAATACATTTTTTTGCATAAATTGTAAATATTGATAAATGTAATCGATACTATCAGGGTCAAAATAATTTAAATTTCAAAAGAGTGCCCCGAATGATACTTTAATGACATGATGCTGAATTTAGATCTTTATCAAAATTCTTATCACATCAATAGTTTTGTCATACTGTTGGACACATAATCTTGAAAAGTTATTTTGACCAAAAAACAGTCGGTTTGGGTACCGCCTTTCATTTCTTTATTTATCAATATTATTATTATTAATGCAACGAAAACTATTTTTGAACTTGAAATAAACCTTCAAAATAAATTATTCTAAACAATATAAATTTAAGTTCAAATCAAAATCTCAATTTTTGGGTAATTTACAAAAAAAAATTAATTTAGAAATTAAACTAAAATATTTAATTCGATTTTGTGTATATGTTTAGCGTTGATAATGGTAACATTGTTCCCGAAATACGTATCCGGAATTTTTTAGTATTTTTTTCGTGGCTTTTTGAGTAGAAAATTTTTGTTATAGTTTTAATATAAAATTGTTTTTTTTTTTTTGATTAAATAATAGGAAAAAATATAAATTTTTTATGACATCTTATCTGTTAAATTTTTTTTTTGTAATTTCTCCATAATCAATTTACAAATACGCTGTATTTATACACTACTCTATCCTGCGGAGCTTTAACAGTTTAAATAGTCATTTTATTTAACTATAGATTGCCAGTACTAGATATTATGGAGCTCAATGCAATAACGTTCTTGTTGAGTCTTTTTTAATTTTTTTTAGTAATAAAGACCTTTTTTCATTTACGCTTGTGTGATGCTATTAAACGCAAGTGCATAGGTGAGTTTGCCCTTCCATCGGCTTTGAAGTATATAATGATTACTTAAAACAGGAATAAGTGTTTTTTAATAAATCAGCTTTAAAATAAAATAAGACAAATTTTTAAAACTACATAAAAATATTTTATTATTAATTGTAAAGTAAAATTTTTTAGTCAAAGACTAGTTGCTGGTCTCTGAAATCCGATTGATTTGATCCACTTTACACTTAATCATAAAAGTAACAGAAAACTTTAATTACAATTCAATTTATTTCTTTAAAATATTTTTAAAATATACGAAAAAAATGTGAATCATTTATGATTGTAGGAAAATTTAAATTTTCCAATGATTGAATCTCTAATTTATAGAATATTTCATAAAAATTTTGCTTTTTGTGACAACCTAACACAGATATTATTTAAAGTAATAAAGGGCGTGTGTATTTTAAACAAACTAAAATAAAGTAAAAACTTTTATTGTAATCGGAATTTGGCAAGTGCAGTTGACCGAAGTGCCAAAAACTCGAAACTCTTTAGAGAAAACAATTATCTTTCATCCATAACATGAACTAAAAATCAATATATACACAGAGAGATTCATTAAAGATAAAACATTCATTATCTGAAAATATTGAACATTTAAAATTTTTATAAAGAAAAATATTGCTTGAATCAAATAACTCCACAATAATTTGTAGTTAAATAATTTGTTTTCCATCCTTAAAGGATAAAATTTTTTTTTAATGGAAACTTCTATTTTTCATTTGATGATATGATAGAAAAAACAATTTTGTTCTTACAATTTTTTTATCCGATCAACTGTTTTGACTTTAAAATTGTTTAAAGATTTGGTTTTAAAATACAAATTCATCATTAATTTGGTTTTAATAATACCGAAGATAGCAATAATCTCTTTCAGTGGGCCATAAATTAATTGATTTTCTTGATAAATCAAGAAAATTATAGCGTAGATATTTTTTGTCTATCTAAAATCCTTAGCCAAAAGACTGTGTACACTATTTATTTGACATTTTTGTTACGATTTCAAATTAAAGAGTGAGTTTTTTCTCTCAATAAAATGTTGACTAGAAGTTTGGACCCTTCAGCATTTTTGGAATTTCTCGTCTGGATAAACTATCGCTTGATATTTCATTGAACTACAACAGCCAATTTACATCGTATCCCTTTCAATATACCCGTTTATAACTTCAAAATTGAAAAATAT